TGTTGGTGGTTTAACTGTCCTGACTACATGGTCGGAGCTTTTATTAAATGCCCTGACTATTAGAAATTGACATCACGGTAAGTTAGGAGCGGATTTTAAGAAGTGGTGTTTGACCGGAAGACCGGATAACCCACAATTTTCATGCGTAACTCCTACATTTTGAATTCCTGAAAATTTTGGGATCCCGTTGATTAGGTCGCGTTATTTTCCAGGCGAACTTATTGCGTCAACCGCGAAGTAAGTCATGGTGGCAATTCACTGCACTTTCCATTCTTCTTTGCCACTCTCTCGTCCTTCGTATGATATTACCGATAGTCCTTATGAACTTATGCAGTTGGCTTCTCGAACCTTTGAGGTCGATTAGAGTGGCGGTGAAATTTCTTCTCGTTCAAACGTGTGGCAGGTAAGAGTTGCATAACATTTTCTTCTGCCATATTATGTCTTAATAAGGTCGACCACAAGCAAAATTTAGAACCCCGTGAGACTTCATCCCCGGCTCATTTCGTCTGACTTTTTTCGTCCACTTCCCCTACTACCACCCGCTTGGCCTCAATAGTCGGGCGCCATCATACGGATATTTCAAGACGTAGTCGAGCTCTAGGCCCTCCGACATCCTATTTCCTAAATATATTTTTATTGCGTCGGCAATTCATTTCATTTGTCTTCTTCTGACTATTTTTACCCCCTTCGTCCTTAGTGGTCAAAGGGGTTTTAGTGTGTTTCACTAGGGCACGTTGTTGTTCTACCCAAGCCTAACTATCTTCATGCTTTTAGCTTTCCTTTAACCGACCGCTTCGACTCCTGTGGCCGAAGGGATTTCAGCATATCGCGTCGAGGCGCATGCTGACTATCTTGGATTCGACCGTTTTTCCCTTTTTCTTTTCTATCAGTCAGCCTCCTCTGCTTAGGCAGTCAAAGAGGGTATCCTGATTATTTTTAGCATGCGGTGCGTCATTGCTCGTTGTCGTATGACCGATTTATTTGACTTATGAGTTGCGGCGTCTCAGACTAGCTTATCTGTTTACGAGCCTTCGTCCTTCTTTGGTTGGGATATCCTACATTTAAAGTCACTCTGATTACCGCGTGTATTGCCTTTTTTTCTGCCTGGCACCGTCATGGCGACAGATGTCGTGGTCGTGTTAATTATAAAAATGAGGGCAAATACCCTTTTAAGGGTATTAGCCCCGACAACGGTAGATTCCTCTCTTCCCTGTCTCCCTCCTTTTTGTTTGGATGTAGTCAGCTTAGTAGAGCGTCGACTAGTATTCGCCAGGAACACAAATCCCTCTGCCGGCACCAGCGACAATTAAACTGAGGCCGCCATGTGGCGTGGGCCGCAGACCAAAGCAACACTGTGAGATCGGTGTAAGGCAGGATCGACCCTACTAGTTGGGTTGTACAAATGAACATGATTGGTTCGTCGCAGGGTGTTCGGTATGTCCGCATCGCAATACACGCTTTCGTCATCTGCGATCAGTAAGGGTGGTAGCACACTGCAACAGGCCCGGCCCGATGAAAGGGTCGAGCACAGGCAATTACCCGCGCCCACGTTCGCCGAGGCAGACACTGACTCCATACAAGTCTTAATAGAACTCACCCCACCCTTTTCGTCTCAGTCAAGGGCAAGACTCAGGGAAATAGCGTCGTGATCCCCAATTAGTTGTCAGGACAAAAAGGATTAAAGCCGAGTCGCAAAGATATCAGCCGCTGTGTGGCGGAGATGAGTGTGACTCATGCCCCCGGTTGTCGGCCGCTCGGCGCGGAGAAACATCAGTCCAACTGACCCTTGTTACCTGCTCGGGCTAAGGGAGAGGAGGGGAAGAGTTAGCAATGATACCCGCACATACGCGTGGCGCTGGGATCGGCAAGGGACGGGGAAGAGAGTGAAGTCCAACACATTCATGCATCCATGCAGACGGTCGACACCCAGTGCTTCCCCAAAGTTGTGCCTGCGAGCGCCCACACACCTACACATCCATCTATCTTGGACAGCGAGACATTCAACGTCCATACACTCTCGTACCAAGTGAGTACCCATACCTCGGGACACTGCGCACACCACACTTGGACAAAGCAGGAATGGAGATAGAAGTGAGTCCCTCGCTATTCAAAATTCACACAAGGCTGGCCTCCCTCAGTCACACCTCCCAACCGGTTCGAACATCAACCAACCATAGCCACAAGGCCCTGCCGCTGGCGGCGTTCGATCTGCACCACCGCTCCGCCACTCTGACTGCCTTACCCCAAGTCTACCTCTAATTCCACCCCACGTCGTCACTCCGCCCGTCACTGGGCAAGTCAAGCCTGTTCCACGTCACGGACTTTGCGCATAGCTAGCGGAGCCTAGCGCAGCATTGCAGCCGACATCAAAGAGGAGGAGAGAAAGGGACTGCGAGGATTTATAGCAAGGAAGGCGGCGGGCTGCCAGCGCGTGAAGCGAGTAACAAGGGGTGTAGATGAGCAGGGCAGAAGAAAGGCAGGGATTCTAGGAGGATCGAAAGAGATGGGCCGATAGTTCTGTGTAATTGGGGTGGTCGTTCAAGTGATGCGCGCGCTCCGTTTTCACCACATTGATCCGACCATCCCAACTAGACAGACAATTGCTTGCGTTGATAGGTGAGGAGAGGATTGGACGTAACGTTGGGGGAAGACGAAGAGGCATGCACGAAGGAGCACGCAGCAAGAAGGGAAAATGGCGCATAGATGTAAAGCAGGGGGTGGGTTTACGCGGCGTGCAAGAAATTTGAAAAACGGCCATGCGCACGTTATTGCGAAAGAAAATTAAAAATTTCGACCACACTAATTCCTAACCGTTTCTTGGATTTCTCGGCGTGGTCGCTAACCGTCTACGCGGAGAAATCAACAGGGGCAGTTCTGAAAGGTACAAGTTTCTTTTCCGTCCCCCACTCTTGAAGAATTGCCCCCGTTTCTCTCGATCAACCAGAAACCGTACTTAGAGGCTTACTTCGGATTTTTACCCTGAAGGGTACGAGAAGCCGCTTGGTACGGATCCTAGCTCATCACAGGCGAGGGGTCGGACTGCAGAAAGGTGTTGGCGGTGGGGTTGAAACGAACGAGCAGCTGCCAGTAGGTGACTAATGGTGGAGGGTTTAAAAGGGTTTTAACGAGCACAGGGGGGCTGCAGGTTCATGAGTGCAGTCAACACCTAGTGGACAGATGGGGGAATGGAATCAATAGGAAAACAGGGCAATCTTTCAGGCGGGGGCTGGGCCTGTAGAATAAGAGCCCAGGAAAAGGGATGGGTATTCATAGCAGCCCCGTGGGGTAGTGGGTGCTCTGGAATCATGCCGAAAAGGCCTATAGCCCCAACATTGTGCGTAACTGATGTACCTCAGGGACACTGGACCCGGTTTCCAGCAGGTGCCACGCCCCACCAATAGTTTAAGATGGAGCAGCCCAGCAGCCAAGGCCTCAATTCTGGGGGTTCTCTCACCACCACCGGGATAGTGGGGCAGCAGTCTCGAGATATGAGGTGACCAGCCCCAGGTAATTCGAGATGGTGATGGGAAGTTATTGTAGATTATATGTCATGGTTATTGGTGATCAAACCTTCTGTTATGACAGGTACATTAAGAGTTTAGGCCTCTTGAAATATTGTGAAACTGAGGGTCTTCAACCCTGATTGGCATGCATCGTAATCGAGTCACGAATGTCAGCTATGCTGATTCTGACTGAGAATTCAACCTGAGAATTCAACCTGAGAATTCAACCTGGGATATCTTTTATTGGGGGTGTCCCCACCGGCCGCAGCAGGACCTGAGCAGCCATCTCCCCCTGGACTGACACTCCCCACATTTCCACGGGTCACAGGGCGGCACAACTCACCCAAGCCAGCTACCAGCATTGACTGGCCCTGGCCATCCTCCTCAGGCCACCAAAAGAAGTGATGTCAACGGTATTAGAACCCGGCACCTATGTGTCACTGCTCACGCATGAAACCTACTGAGCTAGAAGACAGTCGTCTGCAGTTGTGACAAGTGATTGGGTTGGTTGGGCTTAAACCACTAGTACCTTTGGCGTCCGGTTTCAAGAAGTTTTTGCCAGCTCCCAAACTTTAGGAGGCCGGGCCCGACAACGGCCGCGGTTGATAAATCTGATCAGCGTCCGGTTTCGACAAGTTTTTGCCAGCTCCCAAACTTTAGGAGGCCGGGCCCGACAACGGCCGCCGTTGATAAATCTGATCAGCGGCCGTCGTTTCATTTCCGGCCTCCTGAAAGGTCAGAGGCCCACTATTTTCCGAACCGACAAAGGTACTAGAAATAGCCTTTGTTAAAAAAAAAAAAAAGAAAAAAAAAAAAAGAAGAAGAAGAAAACCACAGAAGACAGGATGACATGATCACTAATACTCAATTAACAGGAAATTCAATTGACAACAAGAAAACTTCAAGAAGAGCAATGCTTCCGGAGTCCATAGACTCCATACACAACTGCACACGGGGATAGAAGACAAAACAAAATGATCACTAAGTTTTTTTTTTTTTTTCCCTTTCCTTTTCCGAAGATTCATTAGCAGGAGTCGGCAAAAAAACAAAAGTTCAACAAAAGCAATTCCCCATATTACACTGCGTTTTCGTGAAAATTGAGTTTTTTTTTCTGTTTCTCAATTCGTACTTGAATGACCTAAAGAGGTCGTTCGGCCTGTCCCGTAAGGGCCATTTTTTGGGATGAGCCACCATCCATGAGACTACCACTCATCCCAAAATATGGCCCTCATTGGACAGGCCATGACCNAAAAAAAAAAAAAAAAAACCTCGGGAAGAAAAAACTATGTGGTGCAGAATTGCAAATCAAACAACTTTTGGCTGAGGGTCACCCTGAAATTTGTCATGAAATTGAGAAAAAAAAAAACGAAACATTAAAATTTAAAATTGATAAAATTATCTCGCACCCCCCATTGGGACCCCATTTATACCCCATACACCTGTTTGTGAGACGTCACCAAATTCAGAGATAAGGCTGGATCTGGGCTCATCTCAGTGGGCACAAAATTGCCACGCTATCTTAACAAAAAAAGAAAAAAAGAAACGAAAAGACCCCCCTCTTTTGCTGTCGCCCAGGTACCCTGGGCAGGTTCGCTGGGCTGGGCCCGGTCCGCGTGACTGCGATAGCCTATTCCTAAAACTAATGTCATGACTCATTTTTGGGCAGGGGAAGAAGGAGATTCCATTCCATTCTCCCCTTCCTCCCCCTCACCCCATTTCACCTTCACCTCAAGATACCGCTTTCTGCAGAACAGCGGATATTAGGTAAGACACACTTCTCTCGGCGACCACGATGAGGATGTACTGACGATAGTCATGATAACGTCATCCAAGGCGATGACGACGACAATGGACCGTCGATGGTGATTGAAGGTTGATCGATGAGCGATCATTATGATGATGGGGATGCTGGCAGTGATGACGATGGTGGCAGCAGCACGAAGATAAGGATGACGATGAGGGTGCTTTCGAGCTCACCGCGGGGCAACCTTCATTGCGCTGATGCCGCCTGACGGTCTTTACCTGGCGATTGCCTGGGGATGTGGGACACCTCGGGGGACCATTCCTACGGCACCCGGTCTCATCGGTACGGCGTATTTGCCAATGGGTGCTTGCTGTCTTCGAAACTCGAGCTCCCGATGCTCTTGGCAGAGTGAGCAATACAAACACCAAAAATGCGTGCAGCAGTCCCCGCAAGGCGTCTCCTGTTTAGGGTTTAGGGTTTAAGTTTTTTTTGTTTTCAATCCAGAATGGGGCACATTATAAGGGAAAAAGGGAAGACCACAAGAACCACAGCACAATTGGCAAAAACGTCAATGTTCTATTTTTTTTTCCCTTGACTTGGGCACTAGGCCCTAATAAAAACGGAGAGCAGCCAATGCAAAATGCTTCCTTTTTAGGATTTAGGGTTTAGGGTTTAGGGTTTAGTTTTTCTTCTTTTTTTGACATCCAGAATGGACACATTGTTAGGGTAAAAGGAAGAGCACATTGTGTGGGTTGTGTATGGGTTGTGTGTGGGAGAGTGCTGGCCATAGACATTGCTGTGACCCAATGGGGGGCCCGGGGGGGGAGTTGATGGGAGGAGCAGCTACTGGCAAAATGCTCGGTCTTTGCCTTAGCTGCTCCCAAGGTTGGAAAGATGCTCGGTCTTTGCCATAGCCATTGCCATAGCCATTGCCATAGCCATTGCCATAGCCATGGAGGAAACATGAGAAAAGGCACTGTCAGGATGTGCATTGCTTGGCTTGGGATCCTTTGCAGGTTGGCGCCAGCCTCTCATTGTCCACGGGCAATTCGTCAAGTCAAGCGAGGATGAGAGAACCTTTTTTTTCCCCTCTCGTTTGGTGGTAAGAAGTAAAACCGAAAACTAGGGCGGAGTCAGTGTTAGAGTATGAAAAATGCGTTTGAAACACGGTTTCTGCAATCCAGTCAGGGCCCATCGGCCCAAATTGCAAAATTAAATGCAGTTGAAACTCGGGTGTCACTGAGCATAAAAGTCGCGCCGGGGAGTTAGCAACTCCAGTCTAGTCAGCCACGTGGGAGGGCCCATGATGGCTGTACTGCCAGTACTGGACCACAAAGACAGCTTGTATACATTGCTTAGCAGGGATCTACCTTCCTCTCACCCTGATAACCAATGTATTCAAGGTATCTTTCCGCTGTGATACGGCCATTAATCAGGAGAAGGCCCATTATGGCTGTGTGCCGGACCAGAAAGAATGCTTGTGCAGGGAACGCGGCCCTGCTAACGGCCATTCTTGAACGAATCTGCCCCCCCCCCCCCCCAAAAAAAAAGGCAGAAAAGGACACAAAGAAATGTGGCCCTGTGATAGACCGATTGTCTTGTCACAGTGTTTTGCCAACTGACTCTGAGTCATCAGTAGTCGGAATTGTCTACAGACGGCCGAGTCCTGTAATTGATGAGACTCCCGCTTTCCAGCAGGTGATACTCCCCACCAATAGATGGAGCAGTCTCCTGGGTGGTAGTGGTGTCTGCTCTTATCAGCACCACTAACACTGTTGGGGGCTTTTTAAAATTAAAACAAACAAACAAAAAAAAAAAACCTTCAATTGATGAGACTGGTAACTTGTGGTAAGTAATCATGCACATAAATTTAAACTGGTTTGTCGATAAACGACGACCCGTACTTCTTCCGGAAGTTGCGGTGTGCATGCAGCGAGCCATTGCAGCTCTAGTGCCACGACGTTTCCACTTGAATAGAATTTATTCCAGCGCGGCCCAGGCACCTTGGTCCCAGCAGGTCGCGGCGTGCATGCGGCTGGAACTTTCGGAAGTACCGGACCACTGGACCAGGTGGTCTAAGCAGTAGAGGATACAACCACCAAACACTGATACCCCTCGAAGGAGGTGGGGACCACCAACCACTGCCGTCAAGGAGTCGAGGATACCTATGCTGAAAATCAAAGGAGGCTATCACTCACCCACACCAGACGGATTCATTTGTGAATGGCCGTCTCTCTCTCTCTCTCTCTCTCTCTCTCTCTCTCTCTCTCTCTCTCTCTCTCTCTGTGTATAAGAGACAGCACCAATAGATGGAGCGGCCTGTCAGGCAAAGCCTCAATCTTGGTGGTTCTCTTACCACCACCAGGATGGAGGTTTTGCACATGGGGCCTTTTTTAAAAAAAAAAAAAAAAAAAAAAAAAAAAAGAGCTAAAAACACAATTCTGACGAAAACGACGAAATGATCACTAAGATTAATTAGCAGGAATAGACAAAACAGTTGAAAAAAGAAACAGTTGAAGAAATTAAAGAAATTTAAAGCAATTCTCCATACACCACCCTCACAGTGTCCTGCAACCGAGAGAATATAACTTCGAACGACATAATTTTGGCATGACAAGCATTCAACGCCAACGCCATTCGCGACATAGCTGCAGATTGAGAAAGAGAAGCTTCGGTCATGAAAAGTCCTTTGCCGTGTTCGCGCATCACATGAACCAATGAATACTTTCTTTAGTGTTTAGTAAATAATAAAATATTAAATATTAAATATTAAATAATATAATCACCTTAATGTCAACCAGTCCACCCGGAGTCCAGAAAATGCTGCAGGGGAGGCACATAGCATAACCCAAGTCTGCAGCTCTCTCTCTCTCTCTCTCTCTCTCTCTCTCTCTCTCTCTCTCTCTCTCTCTCTCTCTCTCTCTCTCTCTCTCTCTCTCTCTCTCTNCTCTCTCTCTCTCTCTCTCTCTCTCTCTCTCTCTCTCTCTCTCTCTCTCTCTCTCTCTCTCTCTCTCTCTCTCTCTCTCTCTCTCTCTTCTCCCTTTTTTCTACATACGGTTAGTACAAATTTAACTTGATAGACATTTGAACTACTTGTCATCCGGATATGACATTGTAACTGCCATTTCGTCAAAATGGACATCTTTTATTTTTTGAATGAAATTGAAACCGAGTTTTTTGGCCGAAAACTCGTCAAAATTTGCTGTTCCTCAGGGTCCGGTGTTTGTAAAACGCTGGACCCTCAGGAACAACAAATTTTGACGAGTTTTCAGCCAAAACACTCGGTTTCAATTTCGTTCAAAAAATAAAAAATGTCCATTTTGACAAAATGGTCGTTTTGTGAAGGTATGCTGAAGTCACATTAGCAAAGAGGATTGCTTGGATTAAGCTCGCGAATCTGGATGTGTTTTATGCAGAGATGCAGAAAAGAAAATGAATAGCAATTCTACGCACCTCTCCACAAACACACCCACATAAAGGCCACATTCAAGTGTTAAATCCAATCCTCTTTGCCAGTGGGACCTCGTGCCCGAAGAATGCCATTGGAAATGTGGAAACAGTTTGTAAGATTCCGAAGTAAAAAAGGACGCAAACAGGGACCAAAAAAAGAGCGAAAAAAACAGACAAAAAAAGGAATTAAAGAAGGAATAATACCAACTGGCCTAGCTCAGACCATACACCTCCGAACTGTTGAAATGCAGCAGCAGCAGTACTAGGTCTAACGTCCGGCCGGCTATGACTGCTGTTGTCCATGCAGTAGCAGTCGTAGCAGACGGACATGGGTTGGAGGGTGAGCACTGAGCAGGTAGTTTTGGGGTTTGTAGACGGAAGGAGAGCCCCCCTGAAGATGCTGGTGCGGCTGCCATTGAAACGGGGTGCCGGGGATGCCGTACCTGATTTCGTCTTCAATCGTTCAACTCTGAGTTAAACCACCAGTACCTCCGGAAGTCACGGCGCGTTACCAGCTGCGACCATGATGAACGACTGGGCGTGTAAGGAAGCGCCAGATCCATCTGACTGGAAACGCTTCTACTTTATTTTTCTCCCGCGTCCGATGTATGGCCAAGTACTGGTGGCTCAATCTTGTCGGTTCTATGAGTGAGAGCCTCGTTCCACACCACTAGAGAACTCTTGCGTTTCAAGTGCTCCCTAATCACCAAATTATGAGTAATTTTCACTACAACGAATCTTCGTTCCATGTGCACTCTAGCGAGTCTAGGCCCTTGAAATCGGCACCCTTGAAACGAAAATACCATGGGTCCCGTTTCGCGGGGAGATGGTGGGGACGATGAAAGCCAGTCCGTCTTTAGGCAGGCCCACTGACCTGAGGGACTGCTGCTGGTACTGGCCATCCGAGGGAGGCAACCGCGGCAGGTTTTGAAATTCGAAATTTCCTGGGCCGTGGTGGACTTGAGCGGGCGGCGATAATAGCCACGCGTTCCCTCTCCGAAACCTCGCTGTCTTCAGTCCTTCGTGTATGTGCAAGCGGGGAGGAGCTATTCGGAGTCTGCAGTGTGTCGTCGCCGGCAGCAGCAAGAGGGGGTTTGAACTGGAGGTTGACAGGTGAGACGGAGGTTGACGCCATAGCAGGGCGTGGTGAGGAGGGCAGGCGTGGAGGGCTGACAGAACGGGAGAAGTGATTGGCGGCAACAGCTTTACTGGCAGTGTCCACTGTCCAGGCACGTGCAAACGAGCAATGGACTGCGACATCGGGTGGCGAGAAGACTCGGGGCGAGGAAGGCCGTTGTCACGCAGGCGATTGCGGATTCAGTGTCCTCTGCCATTGTCTGGGATGCGGCGATGCGCCTTTCCTCATGGCTAATGTCATGGAGTGCGGCTGAGGGATACGCCGAGGTGGTGGGTTAGGAGGAAGACAGGGGGCACAGGTAAGATCTCAGCATCGACAATGACGCGACTGAGGACTACTACTGTGAGAAATTGAGGATGACGAGATGCGCCTTCCACGAGATCGTCGCTGCGTGTGCACCCTTTCTTCAACGTCAGCTCACCCACTACCGCAGTCCCTTGCAGCCGGAGCAGTTGGCCACGTTAGCTCTTTAGGGATGGGCATCCGGCGATACCTTCAAGAGTGCGACGTCCTCCTTCGGCATGGGGATGTCGTCTGGAATCAAGGCAATGAGGGATGTCACGAATGCCATTTTGTCAGTGTACCCCGACAAGATATGCATGCCAACCGGTCAGTAGTTGCTCCAAGTTATGCGTGCGTTCACGGCAAAAGGCTTCCCAAACTGCTACGGCTGCATGGATTGCACTCATGTGTACGTGGATAAACCTGCTAATGCCCCGTCAGAGAATTACTACAATCGGAAACTGTTACAGCAATATTCAATCGTCGCTCAAGTGGTGGTCGATTTGGACATGTGCGTGATCGACGTATTCGCCGGGAACCCGGACGGGATAATTGGTAGAAAGAGCCCACGCCAAAACCTTTTCGGTTTT